CCCTGTATATTGGAAAGTAATTTTAGAATGTGGACCTTTTAAACGTGAAAAACTTTCGTTGGACGAATTTTCTTGTAAACTTCATATTTACTGAGGTATCGCACTTTGACGCACTAATGAGCAACCCTGTATACTTGAGCCAACAATTATTATCGCACGGCAAGTTACCTACACGTGGCGAATCGGCTTGCAATTTGAGAGCTTTATGCTTATTTGAGCGTTGCCTCCTTTCTTTGTTGATCGGGAACTCTCTTGAGAGGCAAGCCATCTTTCCGTTTTATTGGTCACGTGGGAATTGCCCATAGGACTAATTACGTTGTGTTAATTAGGGTCCAAGTAGCGAGTCCACGTATTGGTTAGAGTACAGGTCCAGGATCAAGACTTACCATCTTGGTTGGTACGAACTAAGGTTGGACGTCCACTTGGCAAGTACAACCATCTTGGAATACACGTATTTTTTTTGTGATATTATCTGGTGCCCTATTACTGAACGATATTGCGTTTGTGCTTTTGCGACAAGGGGTTGTCAAGGGTTTGCGACAATGTTTATTTTGATCTTTGGTCGCTAGTGTTAAATTCTGTCAATTTATTGGGCGAATTGTGACACGAATATATTGGTTTGTATATACTGATGGTGGCAACTCATCACCGGGTATAATCTGCTGCCACAGGGCTTGCTGTCGGCTTGCATCAGTTGACATACCTATTATTACTAAAGTTTTTTTTATTGTCCATTAAGTTCATGGCCCGAACACACTCAGATTTTTTTGTTTGATCATTGAACTTTTGCTCGTTGTTAAAATAGGCCATCATTTGGAAGCAAAAGTTTTTAATTGCCGTGGCTTGGTCCTATCCCTTTAGTAGTTCTGTATCGTCATATATAGTCTAATACCAAGAACAGAAAAAGTTCGTGGCAAAGTAATCGCTGACATAAACTAGGGTCGCCACCCTCTCTCAAATGCCAGATAACATGGCTTTAACATGGTTGCTAAGCCGATGCAGGGATGCCAATATCAATCCTAGTTTTCTAAGATGTAAAATAACTTTGGAAACCACACAAGCACACAGGATCTACAACAGGGCTTAAACGTCATTGGGGAGAATACACAATCTGAGAAACCAACTTGCAGCAACGGACAAAAGAAATTTAAATTTAATACTATAATGGACAGAATGAACTTGATTAAAACTACGACAACTCAAACTCATGCTCCACAAAAACGCATTGTAAGAATGAAGAAGAGAGATTTGTTATATCTCATGTACCGTGGATGGCCGAGTATCAAATTCTTTCTTCTGGTTACAACTTTTATTCCACTCGGTACAACTTTAACTACGGAACAGGAACAAACTAACTTCAAAGTTACCGTCAACTTCACTAACAATAACAATAACACACGGAAAACACGCGTTTCCGGCTCCCGGAGTTTAACTTCTTCTGCACTTGGTCGCTCCTGTCACTTCACATCCCCGTCTGGTTCTCGTCGTCGCTTATATCCTTTTCTCCAGGTATTCCAGATAGTTCTAGAAATCTCCAGAACAGGTGCGAAACTTGTCCCGCTTGTCAGTGTCATATTTGACAGTAAATGGGGCCCAAATGGGTCTCCCATTTACTGAAACACCATGAATTTCGATCCCCCATTCCAAACGTGAGTACCCCAGGCCATTTCCGTTACACTCAGATTAAACAGATGCATTTGTTTACGTTTGTCGATGGGAGCAACATTGGTGCACAGTTTATATAAAAGAAGGTACTTCGAGAGTTACTGTGCCGGCTCGGTATTCAATTTGATATATAGGGTGATTCAAAATTGGCGTCACTCTTTTTAAGAGGCTTCCTTGGATAGTACGAAAAAAATATTAAAAATTTTTATCGCGAATTTCTAGAAGATGTTAACAGTTGAAGATCGAATTTCAACTTTGTTGTCAAGCTTGTTTTGAAATTCTTCCA